GGGGCGGTGGTGCCTGTCTTCACCCCCAAAACAGAGGCCCCCAGAGGTTTTTAACATAAAGGCCCACTTACCTACCCAGACACCCTAGAGATTCCACAGTCCTGCCCCTCCCCCTCCTCTCCCCCAAACCAAGATACACACACACATAAACACAGAGGAAAATCAAGGACACATTGATTTGGTTTGACTGCTAAGGACTAGTCACCATAAACTATGAAAACTTCTTTCCCTCAGAATTTCCAAGAAAAACTGAGCCATTTGTGAATGCCTGTCTCTGTGGCTCAAGTGAGAAACTTCTCTAGTGCATGGCTTACCTTGAGAGTTTGGCTCTGGCAGTGTCTCTCTGGCCACCAAATGCATCACTGTTGTTTTGCCAAAAGGAAGTTTTAATGCTGTGTGAAAAGTAGAAGACAACTTGTTACATATACACCAACCTGTTGAAATCACCAACCAAAACTGAAACCATTTTTAAAATTGATTGCTTTTTGTATGACTTCCTCAACAGATGGCATTTCTTACCAGAGAGAGCATCTCTTACAAAATGAAATTAGGTTAATATTATCAGAAACAATTTTTATAATTCAGAAATTATTTAGCTATGGCTATCAGCTTGACACATATATACACATTGTTTAAGGAAGGGGACAAGAGAAAATGCATAACTGGTTAATATTGGATAATCTTTAAAGGAGAGAAGGAATTTCAAAAAGTTTTTAAAGAATACTTTTTCTAAATTAGGGGGAAGTTTAGACTAAGAGACATTTGTTTCTAAACCTAACTATGTTTAGTCACATAATAAAATTCCTGCACCAAACAGTTCACTATAATGTAGAAATAGAAGAAATGACAGACATAATTTTAAACATAATATAATAATTTTATTATTTTTAACCTTATATGCTTCAATTAGAAAATAATTTTCTTAAAAAGGTTACTTTAAAAGAATCACTGTCTTGGCATTATTAGTAATCACTGTTTTCTAATCAAGTCTTTAAAAGGTTTTTCTCATTTATAAGTAATAATTTTTATTATGAAATATTTCTCACACAGACTAATATAACGCACCCATGAACCACTTACGCAAAAGTTTCATGGCAAATTCCTCTGTCATTCTGTGTATAAAATGAGAAGCACCCGGTAGATCTAACATCTGGAGTTGTTTCCATAGCTGTGATGTTTTTAGTTCTGACATTTCAAACTAGTCTCTTCACTACAAACTCAAGGCAGGCTTAGATCATTACTTAGCAAGCACTATCCTCCTGCTACTTGCTCTTTAAACCTGCTCTATAGGATGATGGTCAAAAAGAGCCCTCATTATCTTCAATATTCCTAATATTTCATGTAATCAAGGTGAGTTTCCATCTTATTTAAAGCTAGCCAGCCACTACTTGGTCTGTTCTCTTAATTTCTGAAGTTAAAATGAAGCATAGTGGGGCTTCCCTGGTGGCGCAGTGCTTGGGGGTCCGCCTGCCGATGCAGGGGACGCGGGTTCGTGCCCCGTTTCGGGAGGATCCCACATGCCGCGGAGCGGCTGGGCCCGTGAGCCATGGCCGCTGAGCCTGCGCGTCCGGAGCCTGTGCTCCGCGGATGGGAGAGGCCGCAACAGTGAGAGGCCCGCATAACGCAAGAAAAAAAAAAAAAAAAAAAAATGAAGCATAGTGGCCCCAAAATACACAGTAGGCTGAAAAAAAAGGAGGGCCTTTATTGGATAATCTCCTAGGCCTGACTTAACACTGAAATGCAAACAGGACTTTATATTATGAAACATTTCACTAAATGTATTGGGAAAGCCTGACTGAATTTAAAATGTCCACATACCAAGCTGTGTTCCACTCTCACACCACCTTCTTGACTCCAGTAAGCCAGACCTGGGTTACAATTGCACCCTGCTACTTACTGACTGTAAGATGAGTTCTGAGAGTTCTGTTGACCCCTCCCTACGCCTCAGCTTCCTCCACCTAAATTGGAGATAGTAATTCTATCACCTGCCCCTTACCACTGTATTGATTAAAAGAAACAATCCAAGGAAAGTGCTTACCTCAGGGCTTGGCACAAAAAAGCATTCCATAAATATTACCATGATCATCATCTTTCTGAGCAGCCAGGAAAACAGATCTCAGAGAACAGGTAAGTGAACTGAGATGTAAATCTAGAGAAATGTTGGACAGGCCTAGAAAGCTGCTGAGGGGCTTACTGTTTGAAGCCACAAATTTGATTGACGGGGACTTAGTTTTCTTCTCCATCTGAATTTTAACTAGAAATTGTAGACATTGATACTAAGAGAAGGTAAAGAAAGAGGGATACCAGATCCAAGATGCTTTCTGTCCTTCACTGTGATGCTTCTGCTTTCTACTGTGACGCTGCACAGTATCCAGCAGAGAGGTTCTCACCCTTTACAGAAAATTACCAGGGACTGCAAATCGGTAGTAGGTTGGGAGACGGGAAGTGGGGAGAGTGGGCATGCAGAAATCTGCATTTAAAAATAAGTATCCGGGGCTTCCCTGGCGGCGCAGTGGTTGAGAGTCTGCCTGCCGATGCAGGGGACGCGGGTTCGTGCCCCGGTCCGGGAAGATCCCACATGCCGCGGAGGGGCTGGGCCCGCGAGCCGTGGCCGCTGAGCCTGCGTGTCCGGAGCCTGCGCTCCGCAACGGGAGAGGCCACAGCAGTGAGAGGCCCGCGTACCGCAAAAAAAAAAAAAAAAATACAGGGAGACAAAAACAGCGACCAAAAAGCCACAAATAGTTCAGTGTTATTACCCAGATTTACTGATCAACTTAAAAGGGTCTAGGTTATATTCCTATGCTCTTTGTCTAAATCACTAAGACCAGAGATGGTTTGTTCTTGAAAAGACTGACAGCAACATAGAATGACAGTAATAACGTAAGTCAATCTGTTAATCGGTCAAAAACAAATTCCAAAGAAAAGTCAATAGTTTGATTTTAACACAAATTCTATTATCTTTAATATGAAGTGGAACTTTGGGGCCACAACAGAGAGGTAATTAAAGAATTAAGTTGATAAGAAATTGCTCATGTAGATCAATACTCAAAGGGAAATGGAGTCTCAAGAGTCATTCGTGGAGTCAACAGATTAATTCAATCAACATTGACCCATCAACACTACAAGAGCTTATGTGAGGCACAGACAATCAAAAAACGACTAAAATATGGTCCCATTCTTAATGAATGTAAAATATAGCCGTAGACAACACATTAAGAATTGGTCCATGTAACTACACAAAGAGCTATAAAGAAGTAATAATAACAATAACTACAAACCAAAAAGGCTATATTTTAAACGGCAGATACCTCTCAGTAGATAGCAGCACTTTTCAGACCAGTGTTATCACTGCCTCCAAAACTCGGCTGTGTGTAAAATTACATACTGAAACACTCCATGGACTTGATATTGTCATAATAATCATTTGCATTCATCTACTCCAAGTCACATAGTATTTTAACAGTGAATTTTATGTGTTTCTACTATGTAATGCCAGAGCACCTTGAAGGAAGAGATTCTTTTTCAACCCTGTGTCTTTAATTGTTTAGCAGTGTTGGCACATAAGAAATAAATACATGCTGAATAAATGAATGAATGAACGAAAATATTCTACCTTTAAGGAAGAACAGATTAAACATTTCGATTATTAGGTTTAGAGGAAAAAAGTCATGACCATATGTAAACAAAGATATATTACAGTAGATCACTTCCTTTGCCTACGTATTTCTAATTCTCATAATATATTTGAAATACTTGTACTTAAATAAAAACAAATCCTGCTGATGGTAGACAATGTCCCACCCAGAAGGGGGCACTATTGAGCTACATTCACATATAAAGAGCAGTAGTAGCTAACAATTAAAGTGTTTACTATGTGCCAAGCACTGTTCTATGTGCCTCGAATATATAAACTAATTCAACCCTCCCAACCTATGAGGTAGGCACTCTGGTTATCCTAATTTACTGATGAGGAAACTAGGACAGAAAGCAGTGAAGTAACTTGCTCACGGTTACAGAGCCAGTAAGTAGTGGAGCTAGGATACAACTTAGACAATCTGGCTCCAAAATCTGCTCTTTCAGTCACTACACTACAGTTTCTCTAATGTTACTCACTTACTTTTATTCCTGCATCATTAGCAATTACATCAGTTGGAGTCAAACTGAAAGCATACCTTCAGTATTCTATTTGAAAATCCATGACCATAAACCTTTCCTAGTTTGTGTGTCTCGCTTTAACTTAGAAATATTACATCTAAATTATATTATCCAGAAGTACACTTAAATTACATTTATAAAATATAGGTATGGACTCCCATCTGTAATGGCTTGGAGTTTACTCTACAAGGCAGTAAACGGTTAACCATAGTGCTAAAATTAAACGGAATGAAAAATATAAAGAAGTAGACATATCAAAAATTAGGCAAAATTCACAGTTTGAAATTATATATTTTTAGTAAAATCAGACATTAGCATTTAAACAAACAAATGAATAATGCTGCCATGAGACAGGCGTTAAATCCCATTACAAAGGTAACTATTACCTCCTAATGTGACATTTCCATGTAGGAATCGTCCTTGATAAATAAGGCGTAGGATGTTTGGACTGCTGACCTGCTCTTCTTCCCAGTCTGAAAAGAACCAGGGAATTGTTAGGTGCATTTCAACATAAAATTAAGGTATTAGTGCATTGTTCTAAAATTCGGTTCCAAATCAGATAAAATACATCAGAGAAGACGCTTGGAGCTTCCTAATAACTGGAACAGTCACTACCCACTTAGTCACTGTTCTTGCTAGTCTCATTAAATAGCAAGAGCTGCTTAAGGCTAGTTTTTGCTTCTTAAAGAACACTAAAATGTGCCAACATATGGTCCTGAAGTTTAAAAATTAAAACAAATGAGTTGGGGAAAATCTAACCCTAGTTTAAAAAATGTCAGCTGAAAATTTTAATAACCAGTAATTATCAGAAAATATTACCAATATTTGTACCTTTTAAAATATATATTTGAGGCTGGAGACAATAGGTTTAACAAAGATTTTTAAAAGAATTAATATATTGATATAGAGCATAACAAAAAATTATACCTCAATAACTGGAAAACAAACATTTAAAAAAACAGAACAACAAAAAAATTAAGTATTTACTTTTGGGTAATGTTGGTAACTTTATCGTTTTTTTGAGGCCAACTGATAAACATTACAGAAGACACAACTTTAGTTCACTTTACCCAAAATTCTCAGTATAAACTTGAAAAATAACAGATATTAGAAGGTGCTATATAAGTATGAAAGCTAGGATAACGTACAAAGAAAATCAAAAGAGAAACTGGTAGGTAGAATGAATAACAGAATATTTCATTTTAGTGTATAACTTACATTATAGTAAAATATGGAATATGATTCTGTTAAAATAATGGTTTGAGAACAGTAGTATCATGACAAGGTATGGGGTAATTTTCACTAGCTTGTATATACAGAATTTGAAGCTCTGATTTTGAAAGGTTTGAGAATTTCATCATCATCTTCCTCAAGAGTTCTAGTATCATGTGTTTGTTTCCTATAGAAGCGCCTGTTTTCAGGAGATGATAACTGTCAACACACAAACTAGTTTAAAATAGCCTGAAGAGCAAGGGACAGAAGAGAAAGGAGGTGAGCAGAGCACTTTTCTTCTTGCCTTTTTTTGAGTGTTCAAAATGATGAATATGAATTTGGTAAAACCGGTGCCTGTCAGTGACTCAGCACAACAGGAGTGGGTAAGGAGAAGTGAGAGTCATTCATTCTCCCCAGGCCCCGTCTCGGCCCCTCCCCCCGGGTGTCTCTGCCGCCTTCTGACTCCAGGGCCCCCAGGTCCCTCTTCTCCAGAAGAAAGAATAAGTTGTCAGTTGTTAACACTTCCGTATGGGTTACTTTGAACTCACCACACCCAAACTTACTGTTGAATAGAATATGTCGTTTTTCTTTCCTTTAGCGTTGTTCACTTTATTCTGTCACGATAATTTCTACCTAATCTAATTTTACATGGGTCAAATTGTATTTTGTGTTAAATGTCCTCAATGTCAAAATGCCAGGGTTAAAATATTCTCCTGTAATTTTTCTTTTTAAAATAATTTTCATTCAATTTATTCAAACTAAAAAAAAAAAACGTTTACCCATCTCTCCCCTCCCCACACCTTGTGCAACCACCAATCTGCTCTCTGTTATCTATGAGCTTGGCTTTTTTTTTTTTTTTTTTAAGATTCTACATATAAGAGATATCATCCGGTATTCATCTTTCTCTCTCTGACTTATCTCACTTTGCATAACTGCCCTCCAGGTCCATCCATGTTGTTGCAAATGGCAAGATTTCCCTCTTTTTTTAATGGCTGAGTAATATTCCATTGTGTATGTGTGTGTCTCTCACAATTTCACTATCCATTCATCCACTGATGGAAACTCAGGTTGTTTCCGTATCTTGACTATTGTAAATAAAGCTGCAATGGGCATAGGGATGCATATATCATTTCGAATTAAGTGTTTTCATTTTCTTCAGATAAATACCCAGAAGCAGAATTGCTAGACCATATAGTAGTTCTATTTTTCATTTTTTGAGGAATCGCCACACTGTTTTCCGAAGTGGCCGCACCAATTTACATTCCCACCACTGTGGCTGGGAATGTAAATTGGCCTCCTTTTCTCCACATCGTCACCAACACTTGTTTTTCCTTGTCTTTTTGATAACATTCTAACAGGCGTGAGGTAACATGTTGTTATGGTTTTGATTTGCATTTCCCGGATGATTAATGATGTTGAGCATCTTTTCTTGTGCCTGTTGCCCATCTGTGTGTCTTCTTTGGAAAAATGTCTATTCAGATCTCCTACCCATTTTAAAACTGGATTGTTTGTTTTTTTGCTGTTGAGTTGTATGAGTTCCTTGTATATTTTAGATATTAGACCCTTATCAGATATGTGAATATTTCTGGTCACGATATAAAGACAAATGACAGTAATTGTCTAATTTACACGGAAAAAAATTTCTAAAAATGTTTAAAGTATTTTTTTTGAGATGCAGAAACTTGACGCCACGTATTTCTTTATCCTACACAGAGTGTCATGATTCTCATGTGCTTCTGTGGTTTAATATGCTATCTTCCTTTCCTTCTCAGAGGATCTGAAATCTAAAGAGACCTATAGAAGAATAATGCTTACAGGAGGAACTTCAGCTACTAGCAACATATATTTAGTGGGTTATTTTTTGGAACTCTGACCCGATAACACTATGTGCCTGACTATTCCATCTATTAACAATAGTCCACTAAGCTGCACAAGAATATACCAAAGGAAACCAATTCCTTCCCAAAATATATTGCACAAAGTATTTCCTTCTACTGATTTGATATTCACTACACTTTTATTATTAGCACCAATAAATATTTACATTTGCTGACCTTTAGTGCATTATGTGATACAAAGCAGACCTAGATTTTTTAATGTTTTATATAAAATAAAAATTATTTATTTTTATTCCCTGCAGTGTCTAAAACTGCTGAGTAGAACTGGCAAACTGAGGAAAAGATTGGGTTCAAAAACTTTCCCTATGAAAGTAAGTAACGTAGAATTGATACAATTTCCAACACTGGTAGATGGTTTGGGAAACTATGTTACAGACCTGCACTTGAATCTCACTTTTGTTTACCATTAATCAGGGTACTTTAAGGAACTGAAAGTACTTTTAATGTCTAAGTCAAACAATCACGAAGGTGAAAGTATTTCCTTTACCTCAAGTTATGGCGTAACCCTTGCAGCCAGGGTCGTAGTGCCCTTTTCTACAACACGCCCGCAGATGTCAAAAGCCTGTCTTCACCCTCCACCCCACAAAAGTCACAAAAGGCATCTTTACACTTAGTACAACATCACCACCACACAGGTATTTAAAAACGCTTTCCATACTCTTACTCATCTACCCTGTCTGGCTATGAAGAAAATCCAGTATTCTAAGAGCCCAAGTTTAGTTTACTTCAGCTCTTCTGAAATTCCTTCTTATCTATGACCTCTAGCTTCAGTCTCTTCCTGATTTAGGAGCTAGTGTTGACTTGTTCCTTGGATATCAGTGAGAAGAAAGATCCAGTCATTTGAAAGTTTGTCTAAAGCAGTATTCCTTAAACTCAGGTCTATGAATCCACAAAGACAGGTTCTTAGGGTCTCAAAGTCCTCTTCAATAAATTCTAGATTCTGTTTTCATTTTAATGATAATCTGCAAGAGATTATCTAGATAATTCAAATAATTACCTTACAACCAAGTACAGCCTTGGGATTTCAGTGCCCATGTATGAACGTAAGTTTATGATTGTACTGGTGCCAAGCAGTCCTTCTTTGTCAAGAGGTTAACAAGAAAAGAACAGAGGTTGACTTAATACATAAACGATGCATTCTTGTTAAGTGAAGGCTGAATGACAATTTGGTACACTGTGTGAATGAAGGTTTTGTGGTGAATCTGCAGATAACTGGGTTCTCATACAGCAAGTAGTAGCAGAGGCATGCCACACTCAACAGTACCATATTCATGGTGCAAGCAGTGAGTTAGTTTTAGCAAAAATATATCATGTGGCACATTGAAGTTGTTAATTTGAACATCACCGGTTTTAGAGTTATATCTGCATTTTCTTTGTAGATCTGTTTTAGTTTTATGGTTGTATACAAGTTAATAAGGATAAAGAGTTAATTGAGTTATATGTCTCTATCCTTAAAAATAAACATTATAACAAAAATAAGTCAGCACTAGGGAATCTACAAGAATTTTCTTCCTGTAAGGAGTTCCACGTATATTTTTTAGGTTGAGAAACACTGATCTAATTGATCCATTTTGTATACACTGTGTTCTGTGTTAAAACAAGTCTTGTGATTTAAAAGTCCAAGCTGCTTTGGTAGTAAAATTAAGTGAAATCAGCTGAAACAGTCATATCACTATGGTACATGCCATTAAAAGGGTCAAGATGACTTGGGTTAAGTTCAAAGGAAGAACATAAGCTAAAGACTCACTTGAGGATGGCAAGCCAGTCTTATTACACAGAAAAGAACCAGAGAAAGTAATACGACATACACACACCCCGCCCCCGCGCCCAAATTCTGTTTGTCATGGATACTGGCTTGAAAATGCAACGGTATAAATGGATTTTATACCTTCTTGACCTTGTAGTAGTTCAGAGAACATAGGAAGTGACATGAATTAGAAATTAACTTTGTGTCAAGCTCAATTTTAAATAGGCTATGTATAGAATAGACCAAAGAGAATGTATTATAATTTGTTAAAGACAGTTTTTCTTTCCTTTGATTTGTGTTTTGGTATAAATAGGGTTACTGATATAAAAGCGTGTGTGTGTGTGTGTTAGCTACCTTGTGTATTCTTTAAAAAAAATAATTTTCTTTTATCAGTACATTACAACAGCTCTAAAGCCAACCAGGGACTTGATGCACTGGCTCCGTTATCATTCTGCAGTGAGGGAGCTAAAAAGCAAAACCCGGGAAGGAGGCAGCAACCCCCTTAACTTTAAGCCTTATACCCTCAATCATTTGTTTTTTCTCTTTTATTTACTTACAACTTTTTCAAAATGTTTGTGAGACAAGGTAGGGCATGAAGAATTACCATTATTCATTCCCAAGAGAAAAATACCACTCACCCATTGGCCAATTGTCATACACATGCTTTGCAATGTCAGAAGCAGAATCATTAGGAGAAAACAGGAACTCTTTTGTTTTCCCGCTTACCAAGATGAGGCGCAAGTTTATCTGAAAGAAGACAATGATTCTTTTAATATAAATCTTGAAATTTTTAAAATAAAATAATAACTCATAATCTTTTCATTTCAATAACATTCTCAGTTACTACTAATGCCATTTTCTGGTTTTTATTTACTTAAATTATAAAAAGATTCTTTTTAAAGAATGGGAGTTTGAGACATGATTTTATTTCCATTATTTAATATATATATGGGGGGGGGATAATTTACCATAATAAACGAACAAAGGAAAACCCAAATTCATTATGCTTTTAAACTTAACTACTCAGCAATGCTCAGAATTGGACTTTCACAGGTTATCACTGTAACTATAAAATACACATTTTCCATTGAAAAGCTAATAGAAGTGGTTATCCTGCAGATCACATCACTAAACAGAAGGAATAGTTACTTGCTAATCTGCTTCTTAGGAAAAAGAAAGAGACAAGAATTATATACAACTTTTTATCCTATAAAAAATTTTCAAACCTAAACAAATGAACCAGAAACTATAATTTTAAAGAACTTTATTAATAGAGGATTCAATAATTGTAATTAATCCCAATTACATGATCGCTCATTTCTGTGGGAAGGGGAGGAGGCGCCATGTGTGACAAAGAACACAGATTCACCCTCACCAGAAAGCCTAAACTGGACGAGAGAACTACAAATTTTGAGATCCACTGGATTTACAAGTCCAAGTCAATGTATTTTCCAAAAAGTTCACTTTTTCATTTTTGTCTTTATCCATAATTAATGATATTATTTAAAACCACGATATTCATTAATCTCCCCTATAAGTTACAGAAATACAAGTGCGGTTTTCTATACCTCCAGGCCTCTGTTAAGAGAGCAAATAACACCTTCCTAAAACTTCCAGTCCTGAGCTCAGCGCTGGGACTAGCCTAGCTTCGTTATACAGAGAGAACAGAGAATGTCACTGTACCAGTTTGAATTGCGCCAGGTCCTAGGCTACCCAAGCTCTCCTCTTCAGTTACTAACATTCTTTTTTCCCTAGGAAAAAAAACCCCAGAAAATCTTTAAGATGACAAAGCCTACAGTGAAAAAACTGGTGCCTACTGCAGCAACACCAGGATACCAGGTCACTGATTTACTATCTGCCACAGCAGTGGCCGTTGCCACTGCCAGTGCCTCACCACTTTGAAAATGTACTGAAAGTTATCAAATATCTCCTCTAGAAAAATGCTAATACATGGGCTTCCCTGGTGGCGCAGTGGTCGAGAGTCCGCCTGCCGATGCAGGGGACACGGGTTCGTGCCCCGGTCTGGGAAGATCCCACAGGCCGCGGAGCGGCTGGGCCCGTGAGCCGTGGCCGCTGAGCCTGCGCGTCCGGAGCCTGTGCTCCGTAACGGGAGAGGCCACAACAGTGAGAGGCCCGTACCGCAAAAAAAAAAAAAAAAAAAAAAATGCTATACACAATTCTGCATTCAGTGGAATGCAACTGGATTCTACAGTAGATGGAACAGAACTGGGTTCTATATTAGAAACTGTATTCTAACTGTATGTACACTATATCTCAATTTTTAAAGTATTTTAAAAGAAAAAGAAATCTACATTTCAGGTGAAAAGCCCTTTCGATATGTCCAATATGAATTTTTGCTGCCTTTCCTAATTAAAATGAACTTAGACCAAAGAACTTAATACAGGAAGAGATCTGATGAAATCACACTGCTATAAAGAAGTAATTTGATTCAGAAACTCTAAGTTCCATTAGAACAAAATTCAAGTAATAGTTTGCAAAAATGATTTTATTGTAAGAAAGCACCACCTTATTCATCTCCTATAACAAGTAATGAGTGATTCCCAAAGCAAGAAACCTAACATCTACACAATACAATGTGAATTTTAGTTCTCACACATGTATCACTATTCAAGGCTGTCTCTTTACATGTGAATATTGGTAAATATACATTTGCTCTGAACTTATATGGAATCTTTTAATAGCTTCAAACTACTGTGTAACAGCCCTTCAGTTATTAATGCCCAAGAAATTATGCCCTTCATAATGGTTCAGCCACATGTGTCTGCTTAACCAGAAAGAAATATTATTAAATTCAGGCTTCCTAAGAGTTATGTAAGTGATATGAACCTACTATTTCCTGGAATCAACTTTTAAGTTTAACATTCATTTCTACTGAGCTTTTCTTCAAATTATATTTAAAAATAGCAAAGAAAAGAGGGAAGGAGGACCTAATCCTTATCGTCTGTAAAGTTTACACTAATGCATACTTTAGATTTTCCCTAATATCCATCAATATGGAAATGGAAAAGTAAATGATAGCACATCCTTACTATGGAAATTTCCCACAGTCATTAAATGACATAAGATATAGATCTATATGATTTGACATGGAAAGATATCCACAATATATTAAACAAAAACAAAATAATCCACATACCTCCACCCCATAAATACATAACACTAAGTGTATTCATGCTGCAAAGTTCTTGGCATTTCCTATTTTAAAACTGATATAATCACTGTCACTAATAAACTGATATTTCACTTTCATATTTAAAAGTCAACGGTCTAACAAATTTATGTTTATCTAGATGTTCAGAATGTTGAAAACTTTTGGCCTGTAGATGTGTTTGACACAGGTTAAAAAATATTTTTTAAAATGCTTACAGGTGGGCATGAACTTTTCAGTTTGACACATACCCTACTAATCTCAATATACTCACACTGGTCTGCTTCATACACTTATGCCTGGCTGGCCCCAGAAAACATTTAAGTTTATAATTCGTGGTAAAGTTTGAAAGTGGCTTTGGGCTACAAAATGAGAACAGAAAGCAGAGTAAGACTTTAAAACCTACTTAGAGGGAAACTAATCACCCCTTTGGGTGGGGAAATGGGAGAACATGACAACTGCAAGAGTAAGTCTAAAAGTACATCAACCTAAGAATTTATCAAATCTTACCGTTAAACTATCCATAACTGACAGTAGCAGTTAAAGACTGCACTTGGAAAGAAGCTTAAGCCCAAAATTAAAACTAACAGCAATAAACCCACAAAATTAAGTGGCTGAGTAAAGTAACACATTGCCTGAAACACTTCCACTGCCTGGAACAGTGCCTGGCACACAGTAGGTGTTCAACCAGTATTTGTTGACTCACTAATGTTTCAGTTTCTTCAGTTTGAAGACTCAAGTAGAGATGTAGACTAGATAGGTCAGCGCCAAGATCAAAATCCAGGCTTCCACATTCTGGGCATTTTATTAAATGACAAGTGTAGTAAGTAGAATGAGAATGGATAGTAATTTTGTGATAGTGACATGGACATGTGGATATTTCAATGTGTAGAACCCTCAATGTTTAATTTGTCAGGGTCTGGATCTTTAGTGTCAGCAATATGCCACAATTTATGTAAATGCTATTATTTAGTAAGGCGCTCTGAAAAGTGAAGTTAATCTTGAGCTACCATATTAACATGTATATTGTGCCTAGTTTTCAAATGAAGATAAAGACTGGGTATATTGATACGTTAGATTAACAGATGAGTCTGGACTTGTTCCTATGCTTATATCTATGTGACAGCCTTGTCCCTAGACTAGAAGCATGAATCCATCTGCCTCAGTATGCAGTCAAGTATATCTTAGGACTGTAACACCAAGGGAGGAAAACACTGAATTCCCATCATTTCCTTTCGAAGAAATCCTGAAAGCAATCACCCAGACAAACATCTAGCTACACAGGTTGGTCAGCAGTTAATTGTTCTTATATTATAGTTAGAATCTCTCAGGCTTATTCAGATAAATAATGTCAATTATAGCTCCCCTCAGTAAATGTATAGCAATTCCTACAGATTTCTTTGTAGGAATTTTCATTTAGAAGATTATATATTAATTATTTAAATACTCATTAATGAAAGACGTTTTTACTTCTTTGAAGCCAAATCAATCTATAAAATACCTTAAAAGAACCTCTGCTTATGAGGTAGTGGGATTCTCAACACATCGACGGATTACAACACTCTTATTTACAGCTTAAAATGTGATATACTGATATACATACTTATCTAAAAACAAAACTGTTAATTAGGACTCTGAATGACTTGGTATGAGATGGAGCTCCTATTATGTAATGAAATTCCCAAGGGATGGCACTTAGGTCATCCAAATGAATTATATATTTTATAATTACTTTTGAGGCAAAACAAATCAAAACAAGACTATTAGTGTGGTAGAACTACCATGATAATTTCCTGTAAGGCCAATGGAAACAACAGAAGCTCTTCCATGCAATGCTCTTCCATTCCAATTCCATGCATGTAATTTCAAGTTAAAAAAAAAAAGTCTTAGGTCAAATTGATTGCCATTCCTATTTGTTACATTATATCAATTTGGAGAAATCTCATCTAGAGCTTAATTCACTCAACAATTTGTTTTCAACTGGTCAGGATGGAAAAATTTAGAGGAAGGAAAGAGGGGGCATGGAAGATGGGACTAACTGGAATATAAACAGGCAATAGGAGATGGACCATGCCCTGTAAAAGAAATATGAAAATATGACTGTTTTCTACAAAAAGATCAACATGCTGATCAAAAAAGGAACTCCTGACTTCCCTGAGAGTCTCTGAGGAGTAGACTGAGTCCTGGGGCACGCTACTCCACTTCCTAGGGAAGCACCTTTGCCTTTGCAGTGCTCATTCCTGCCTTTTTTGCTAAAGGATGAATAAGTGGCCAGTGGGAAAGATGTTAGACTTTCTTTGAAAATCACTTTTTAAAAGCTCTCAATTTATCTCAAGGGGATTATACCCAGTAAAAAAAAAAAAAAAAAAAAAAAGTCAATCCAAAAGGCTACATACTGTATGATTCCACTGATATAATGTTCTTGAAATGACTAAGGTAGAGATGGAGAAGAGACGAGTGGTGGCCAGGTTTTAGAAAGAAGGGAAGGCAGTGGCTGTGTTTATAAAGGAAGCACAGGCATCCCAGGGGTGGAACTGCAATGTGTGCTGCTGTGTACATGGCACATGAATCTGCACAT